TTAACCTAATCCTAACCTAACTTTAACCTAATCCTAACCTAACTTCAACCCACTTCAAAACAATCAACCGCTAACAATGTCTGCACTGGTCCACGCTTTACTTACAAAATCCGCGTTGCCATTTGTGGCTGTAGAGACGACGTATTTAAATACGGGGGCAGCATTTCGATTGATGGTCCGCTCCAGCTCCTTGTAGAAGCTGACCGGATTTGGGAAACTCACTGTGGCCCTCGACTCATCCACTTTCACATCCACAGGAGGGAAATCCAAAAAGCCTGAGGAGAGAATTTGAAGTCCAATCTCTGCATAAATCCTTTTCATCGAACTTGAATCACACTCTACAGATATCTACGTATTACTTACATCTTGTTTCAACTGTTTTCACGTCATTAAAGGAGAACGTGTTTGACTTGACTCCTTCAGACCGGCTGCCTCCCTGTTCGGCCGTTACAGTCACATAAAGGAAGTCCTTGTAGTTCTCTTCAGACTTCCAGACGAAGTGGCTCAGATCAAACTGATGCTCTGTGGTGACGCTCTCATTCCAGTTCCTTTAATGAAAGCAAGAAAGCAGATTAATCCTAAAAACAGTGGGAAAAAAATGAATTGTGAATTTACATGTCTGATGTAAAATAACTTCAGAAAAAAAGGTCTACAAAACACACAAGATTTGAATTACAAGTTATATGTAAAAACTCACGTGATCTAAAGCTAACAGTTTACTGTTGTAATTAGAATTGTTCATTGACTGTAGTTTTGCATTTTTCAAACCCATTCATTTTACATGTGGACAAAGTTTTTTTTTTTTTTACATAAAGACCCGTCAAATATACAAGACTGGTGTGTGCAGCCGTCCTCTAATGTTTTAGCACCCGCCTGTTAAAGAAGGACAATAAACAGCTGTCACTGAAATAAGATGATCTAAGAATCTAAGATTACATACCGCATTGTTTACCTTTCTAACAATTCATACTGTCATATTTTGCAGTAGGACAGCAGCTGACTCTTACCCAGAAGTCCCACTAACGTTCACCCTGAAGTCGGTGTGCGGCTGCTGGTCGCTGTAATCCCAGCTCACTGTGGTTCGGACATTTTGGCAGCTCACGATTACATTTGCTGGAGGTGGAACTGCAAGTAAAAAAAAAAAGGAAGAAAGAGCCATAAACAGACGTGTAACTGAAGGTCTGTTCATCTCAAAGCATTTCTGAGTCAGTATGTGTATACCAATACCACCGATGGAAGTGTACACAGAAAACAGAAAACAAGGGGGAAAGAAAAGCAACTCCCCAGTCAGTCTCCAACTGGCAACGCTGTGGTTCACAATCATTTCAATTCTTCTGTGAGAAAACTAATTTCCATGATGTAGACTGAACATGTTCCCCCGCAGAGGTGGATGCTTACGATGTTTCATAGACTAATGCCAAATCGACTCTGCAACTATGCTACACACACAGATGTAGTTCATAAACTGGCCCGACTGAAACTAATGCAGCCTTTGGCAACAATCCTGCAACAAAACCTGCCTTAAGTATGGTTTTAATGTTTAGTGTTTGCCAAAAGTGTTATTTAGTTTGTGCTCATCGATAAAAAAATAAAAAATTGTCTGTTGTATTGCTTTCAGTGGGATGTACCTGAATGTCAGACTTTTATTAGTCACCACTTCATGTGCTGTGAAGCGCCGACGTTACGCAGGTTTGATTTCAATCAAAGGCTTGATGAGGAAAGACGTTCTCTTTTCTTCTGATGGTCACCACACCCTTTGATCCCACCACCTTCTGTCATGTGTTCTCCTACCTCCAGTCATTGATTAGCAACTGTATGCTAACCAACCACAATTCCCGAGCCTCCCTACCCTCTGACACACCCGATAAACGGTGTCACACTGCAGACTCGTGCTGTGTGTTGGTGAGCCCACCGTCTACCACAATACTAATAAACACCCACTACAGCAAACCTCACATGAGGACAGTTTCTTCAACAGGCTTCAGCGATCACATCTCCTCAAGCAGAGGAAAATCAGCATCGATACCACCTGCAGGAACGAGCAGGAGTGTTCATGTCTGTATGTTTTCCTTTGTCGAGACCAAGTGACCCACAGCACCCACTTTGTGCCCACGCTGCCACTGCCAGTTTTCTCATGGGAATTGTAGTTTCTTGTGTAGGCATTTAAAGTTTTTCACTTTCTTATAAAAAGTGTTGTGCTGTGCAGTCATTTTACCACAAAGACTGATGAAAAGCACTGTTACTGTCTCAGATGGAACATCAGCTAGTCGGCAGATGAAGGCCATCATCATTCCAGCAAATCAAATCTTTATAGACGTGAAACTCTCGACAGTTACGACGCCGCTGCTACACATCAGCTGTGTGAGCAAAAAAAAAAACAATTCTACCATCCAGGAAGGAGTGTGTGAAGCTGTAATACATTCTACTGAACAATTCCAGTAACACACCTGGGTCTGGTATCATAGCAGCACCATGGTAACAGGTAGGTGGCTGCAATAAGGAAACACAACAACAGGATCATAAAGCACAAAGCTCGGTGCTTGCTCTTCAGCATTCCACCATGTCTGGAATTTAAAATGCATCTTGCAAGAA